GACTTCAGGTCTGGTTTAGATCATTGTTACTTATAAATTATATATTTTTCTGGTATAAATCTGCTGTTTTACATGATTGTTGAATGAAATTAACATAGTTTTTAACTTATTGTAAAAAATATGACCGATAATCTGAAACAGATCCAGTTCAGCTGCTGTTTATCTTTTAGTTTCTATGGAGGCTGTGAGCTGTTGCCCTTTTAGGATGCCATTTCTATTCCTCCATGTTGTCACAGACGATACCAGTGGATGGTATGGGCGGGGCTCTGTCTAGTGATCTATATTTAAGTCTATGTAATCTGCTTGGTAGGACCACAACTCATCAGATTTTTCTCTGATATGACTCTGGTAAACATTGCTTTGTGTATACCAAAGTCACATTAACTGGGTCTGTTGGTAATATATTTTACAGTCATTCCACGGCCTGCCGCATCCACATTACTTTGTTTTGTCATGCTGTGCAGTGGGCCCAAACTGACTCTCTAAGTGGTAACTAAAACCTCAAGAGCTTTTATCTTAAAGGAGTTGATCCCAACTCCAGATGACAGGCTTAATTTTTCCCTCTAAAGTGGGTGACCTCTTCTTTGAAAGACCTCCTTCACTCAATAATGAACTGGAAAGACAACATCCAACAAGGACACGTTTGTTTTCTACAAGACACTTTAGAACTGTGGTGCCCAATCCTGGTCCTCAAGAGTCACTTTCCTGCATGTTTTAGTTGTTTCTCTGCTCTTCAGCATGATTTAAAGTTCTGCAGAAGCCTGGTAATGATTCAAGGGCCATGAATAAACAATGCAAAGCTGCAAAATCAGCTTTCAAACAAACCTCCCAGCCCATGACCAGGCATTCACTGTTCAGCTTTGAATCGAATATGCTGGGACCTTCAGTCATTCTGCAGAGAAATATCTAAAGATGCTTCATCAAAACTAATTTGAATAAAGGAGTGATCAGTAGGCTTCCGGTGAATCTGATTACCTGCTGAAGAACAGGGTAAACACTAAAACATGTGGGATAGTGGCTCTTGAATACCAGACTATGTCTACATGCTTCTTATATACAAAATAGGAGTCAAAATATAGGGCCTGCTTGTTTTACCATCCAGAATTTGAAGCTGGACTGACCATGTTGGCCTCGTGTCTCCATTATGACAGTGATTTTAACAAGATCATGGAAACAACTTTGTGCAGGTTATGGACAATGATTTGGGAATATTATTTGAATACTAAAGAAAAAAAAAGACCAGACAAATTCCATCTCTAGTGCACACCTGCTACTTGTGATGGTAGCATCATGCAAGCATGACGTGTTCAACTAGCACATAGCTGCATCCTGATGCAGTCAGAGAGTCATGACAGGACAGGCATGTAGGCATGGTGAGGGTGCAAAAAGTATCTTGGGAGCACTGAATAGAGTAGCTAAAAAAACATTGGTGAGTTGGTGAGTAATAAGAGCGCAGCAGCACCATGAGTGCCTTCTAACTAAAGGTGTTCCAAATTTGCTACCATGTTCTAATAGATCAGTGAAGAGTGTGTGAGGTCATCATCCAGTGTAAAGGGAGGGTTTACTTTGGTTTCAAGTTTGCATGGAAACATACTGTATATGGGCCAAAAACAGAGGGGAAACTCATCAGACACATTCATAAAACAGTTTGTTACAGTAAAAAAAAAGTTTTTCAAACTGTTTTATGGATTACTCTTTTCACTCTTTATTTATCAACGCTCAATTCTCAAAAATTACAGTTAAGTATTGCATGGCTGAACAAAAGATTATATGTTGCTAAAATCTTGAATCTACTTGAAGGAAACAAACAAAAAAATACTTCATTTTGCTGGATTTGCAGCAGTTTGTTACACAGCAAAACCAAGGCCAATGTTGTTTTGTTTTTAAAGAAAATATCTTCATCTTCACCGACATTCAACAGTTCTGCATCTTTCTATTCACAGAATTTTGGGTTTTAATCAAGCTAGTTTTCCTATAAAGGCAGTTCAAGTAATTATTTTATATGAGAAGCCAGTAGCTGCTTTCTATGACTGCAACCTTAAACCATGCTGTGTGAAGACTGAAGCGTGACATCAACACGTTCTTCTCAGATAGTAAAAATGACCTAACTAGACGTGTCAACATTTGCCGGAGGCTAAACACGTGCGGATTACTGAGAACAAATACCCTACCACTATTAGGGTATCAACACACACACACACACACACACACACACACACACACACACACACACAC